GGGGGGGGGGGGAGTATGCTAACTTCAAATTGACATAAATTTTAATTTAGATCATAATCTTCCTTTACGTCGAGAAACAAAATAGAGAATTATTATTTTTTATCTCGATTGTGAACGTAGACCCAAATAAAGAAAATAAAAATTATATCTCAAACAGACAAAGAAGTTTTCGATTTAGAGTCAATTATATTAACCAATACTAAAAAATATATAATTTTTAGAGTCATCACAAGATAATTCAAGAGGAAATAAGGATACTGTGTTCGTGTATGATATTTATACTCTAAAATTTTCAATTTTTAAATAGTTGAATTCCAGTGACCGTTCGAAATCATTTTAAATTTCAGTAAATAAAGTCGAACAAGTGCATAAGTTCAATAACTAACAAAATATAATGCGTAGGCAATGTAGTGAAATATTTTAAATTGCGGTGATCACTTATGAGTATGTTAACAGTTCAGTAAGTATAATGAAACTTTTTAACTCCCCAAATTATGTTTTATAGTTCGTCGTTGAGTTTTGTTAGTTAATCCTAAGGGTTTTGCCATGCGTATCAGGTGGACAGGCCGCCTCACCCCTTCACAATAGGTGAGCTGGGAATGGAGTCTCAATCTCTGCTTATAAATGGCAAAACTGTAACCCTATAAACCCAACGAGGACGGGCAAAAAGCGAAGCCCTCCACGCGGGCACAAAAAAAACACTAAATTCATTCGGTCTACGAAATTTTCAGTGAATGGGGAGATGGAGAGCTTCTTTCCTCTTTTACCGTGTTATAGCTGCATCTAAATCGACTAATCCAAATTTTCGCCCAAACCCACCTCTTAGATCTTCAGTTTCTGCGCAGCCCAGAAATCAATTCTTGAATTTCAGGTCTTTTTCTGCGTTCTCATCTCCATCCCCGTTCTATGCTGAAGATTTCGATTATAAGACTCCCAACTTTGATCAGAATCAGAATTTGGAGGAGTCCAAGGGAAATGAGGACGCCGGAAAAATCTCAGTGAAAGCCTTTTTCCTTTGCACCAGGTTCGTTTTTTTTCTCTTTTCCTTTTTTTGTATATAAATTACGTATTAATTCTCGGTTCTCTTCTATTTTAGTTATGGGGTGTATGGTTGTATAAAATATTGAATATATATTAATTCTGTTGAAAATTTTCTGTTTAAGTTCTTCAAAATTGATGTAATAGTTGCAGAATTTATTCAAGCAAAAGCTTTCATTTTTGCATATATGTGAATGTCTAATTTCTATTTGGTATTCCTGAATTTGGCGATTTACTGTATGTTTGGTTGTTGTTGATAGAGAAAATTGACCCGGTGAATACTGGTAGATATTTTGGTAATATACTGTTAGTAGTGAAGGTATATAAGGGGCTCTTTTCTGGAAAAATATGTGCCACGGAATTTCACGTGTAATGGTTTGCTGTGGAAAAGCTCAGTGGCATTGGGTAGTTTTTGTATCTAAGAATAATTGAGGAAAATAATTTCTGAAGTATGAATGACATTATCATTTTCATAACCTTTGACCTACTCAAGTTTTCATTTATGATCATGGAATAGTTTAGTTTATGCTCTTCCTATTTTTCCCATTCACAAGAGTGGTGCAATCTCAATAGAACTCATAAGAAGGGGGGGAGGAATACCAAAATGGGCATGCTTTTATGGTTGTGAAGCTGTAGTAATAATGGATCTTTGGTACATGTAATAAAATGACAAAATGGGATTCTTGGAGTTCGCCTCAATTTTATTAGGAACAAGGCTTACATACCATTTGGATGCAATTTATAGATTGGTTTATATAATAAGCGAAAGTCAACTCCCCCCCCCCCCCCCCGCCC